GTCCACGGATCTGATGTGCTGGGTGTCGACGGCGATGGGGACGACGTCATAGGGAAAGAAGGGAACGGACGGCGGGTACTGGTGGCGGGGGTCCATGGATCTGATGTGCTGGGCTTTGACGGCGATGGGGCAGAGGTGCTGGAGGAAGGGGGGGCGACTCCACCTCCAATTGCGCTAGCGACGTTGATGCGTCCAAACCCGTAGTTGTTGTTGGGGTATTTGGAATCCGACACGCCCCCACAGTTCTCGTTGTATGGAGTCAACGTCTTGGTGTCCACAGTAGTCGTGAACGCCTTGAACACTTGATCGTACTTGGCGCCTTTGTTGGTAGACAAGTAGAGGGCAATCGCACCAGCGACGTGGGGAGACGCCATGGACGTGCCCGAGATGGTGTTGTAGGCTGAGTTGCCAGTGTGCCATGCCGAACGAACCCTGTTACCAGGCGCCGACACATCGGGCTTGATTCGACCGTCTACGGTTGGCCCGCGACTGCTTGCTGGCGCCAATTTATCGTCTGTGCCCAGATTACCCACCCCAATGACATTCTTGTAATCAGCTGGGGTCCCTGTTGTTGAGCATGTACGACCAGAGTTGCCGTTGGCAAACACGGGAATGATGTCAGCAGCGCGCCACGCGTCCACGGCGGCTTGGAAAGCGCGGGTACTCAACTTGTAACCCCAGCTGTTGTTGATCACGTGGGGCGCCAACTCGCACTTGGGGTTTTTGCCAGTCGCATCCGTCGGGCACAGCATCCATTGCGCACATGAAAGGAGCGCCGCTTCAGGGCAATAGGAGGTGGTGCTGCACCCGCGGCAAGCAATCCACGTGGCTCCAGGGGCTACGCCGATGCCATTTTGACCAACAGCTGAACCCGCGACGTGGGTGCCATGGCCGTCCCTGTCGAAGGGGGTCGGGGACTTCTCGGTGGGGTCGAACCAGCCGTAGGTGGATCGCCAGTTGCCCTTCAAGTCGTTGTGGGTGTGCAAGACTCCAGTGTCGATTATACCAACCACCACACCTTCGCCACGGTTGCCATTAGCCCACACGCCAGGGGCGTTGATGAGGTTGACACCCCATTCGTTTGCGGCGCGCGTGGAGGTTGCGTTGTTGTCAGCCCATCCTTGAGCAACCCCCACATCAGTGTCGTCGTCGTCGAAGCCGACGAGACTGAGTTGCGCCGTGAGAGGTTGTCGAATGTGAGCCACGTTGTCCAACTTGGCGAGTTCGTCCAACACGAGGCGGTTGGCGCCGTACACGTGCATGTTGCCGTTGATGTAGAAGCTCTCGACGCGGGTCGTGAAGGATTTGGGCTGCAACGACAGCAGCTCCACCGCCGCGCGCTGGGACGTCTCCATGTTGCTCTCCAAGAGGGAGCGCACATGGTCGATGCCGGAGCCGCGATCCTTAAAGCTAGCCCGCTCAAGACGGGCGGTTTCCAGGGCGCGCTGGTTGCCTCCTTTGAATTCAACCACAACGTCCACGTCCTCATTGGATTCCAAGTGGTGGTGGACACTGGGGGCGATTTTGGCCGTGGCGAGAGCGGCAAATGCAGCGATGAAAGTAGGTTTGATCATGATGCAGTTGCTGGCAAATTGAAATGAGAGAAGGTTGTCGTGATCCGATAAGGAGACAGACATAGATACATTCTGTTAAGGTGAATACGGGTGACATTTCCCAGCATGTGATCATCTGATTTCGCGCAGGGATGATTCACTCCATGTATCCAAAGCGTGAACCCTCAACCTCCTGTTCCGTACTTGCTGTGAGTAGGCCTTGAGTAGGTTGAGCTTAATGCGTGAGCAAAAGGTTCGACGATTAAGACAACATCACCCACTGGTATCAGGGCTAGGGGACCAAGCGACTCATGATGACTGTGTTGGGTTGGATGCATGGTCATTCAGAGTAAAAACTCTGAAATCGGGGTGTACCAATATTACCACTATCCGGTACTGTAGCTCGGAATATCCGAGCATATTTGTGTGTTGAACCTAGACATCCTCTATCTTACTACCGGTATTAATAGTACAGTACTGTAGAGCGAACGAGAGAATTTAAGACGCTCGTCTCAATATTGTTGTAAGGTACATATCCAATCAAATTCATGTATTTCAAACCACTTGGTTTCCTTTGTCACAAAATCGAAGTTGGCCAATCAGACTTCAACGTTTAGATTCTACTTCGATTCACTGTCAATTAATTTCCCTCGTTTACTGTACTATGCAAACTATAGTAATGCAAAGCTATCTAAAGCACATCTTGCACACGATATTGACATATCATCATCCTGTAGCCATCAGTGGGGGATCAATTTTCAAAATACTGATATGTGCATATCTTGTGGACAGATGGAGTAGATGCGGCGGTGACATACAAAGCCGGAGTCCGTTAGGACTACCCCGAAAAAATCCTTCAATAAATCTGGATCTCGTTCAGCCAAGACTGAGAACTTCAAGCACGGCAGATTCGAAATGGTACTTGGCACATTGTTGGGTAGTGGAGCCTTTTCCATTGGTAACATGGTACATTTCAAAGGGTGTTGCGGCACTAAGTGTCAATTCTATTGGCCACAGGCCAAATGAATGGACACATCGCCCTTTCGAATGAGCGCCAAGCCAACAACGTTGAAAAAAGTCCCAAGTCAATAGAAAAAAGGTGTAGAAACTAATAGTAAACGGTATAGCAGATACTGTACTACCGTATAGTGTATACTGTATGTATTGCGACAGATTAATCTATTGCGACTCCTGTAATAACTGATAATTTTCTTGTACTAGCTGATATTTACTTGTGAATATGTTGCATATACTTCAAATTTGTATGAAGCAATGGATTAACAAAATTTTGAGTACGAGTGTCGGCCGGTTGTGAAATATCACCTGTCGCAATACATATACACTATACGGTAGTACATTGAGGCAACATAAATCCATGGATATCGCGTAGCTACAGAATTCTAGCGACTTGCTAATCACTGACAAGCAACATTTTGCAGTACATATAACGTTAGCACAACTTGTGC